CATTTTAAAGGTGAGGTGCCACCACAGAAAATGTCCTGTCTCTAGTTGCCACCCACCTAACCTCTGAAGGCAGGGCACAGAAAGAGGATTGGAAGAGGCAGATCTTAACAGGCAGGCTAGATAGTATGAGAGCAGATGGTCCTTCCAGACAGGCCTTGATCTGATATAGTTGCATTATGTTCCAGACAGAGTATGACCTCAGTCATGGGGATCCAGCATAGTTAATGCTATACACCAGTGACGGTGAACATTTTAGCGACCGAGTGCCCAATCTGCGACCCAAAACCCACTTATTTATCGCATAGTGCCAACATAGCAATTTAACCCGAATACTGAGGTTTTACTTTAGAAAAAACAACTCATACATTAATTTAAGATGATCCAAACAAAGTAAGGAAAGCAATCCCAAATTTGCTTTAAATTATTTGGCAGAGAATTCGACACTTTAATGATGGTCTGGGCCTGGTTGGGCGATGGCACGCTTGCCCACAGAGAGGGCTCTGAGTGCCACCTCTGGCACCCGTGCTATAGGTTCACCACCACTGATATACACTATACATTTAATATGGAATATTATCTTTATAGTGGATCTTGTTTTATCCAATACCCACAGTTTTAATAGGCATTTCAGATTAATTTGGAGGAAAATGTAAGAACCTTATTGATTTTACACCTGGTTTTGAGCAGTAGGCAGTAGGTTCTCAATCTGTTACCACAGCCATCTGGTTAATCAACAAATTATAGAGAACTGTATTGCCATAGAATGGCAACAGGGGTCAAAAACCCAATGCAACTGCATCATTTTAGGAGAGGGCTTTTCCCCCTTTTATTTAAATTGAACAACAAATGCTGGATTACAAAAAAGAAACAATTTTTTTTCCAGGCCAAATAATGAGGAAAAAATTGTCAGTGACACATGGTCAAGGAAATACTATGGGACAATTGAGATACTTTACATGATAAACTTACTTTAAATGATAAAGTTGCACACTTTTTGCGGGGCAACTTCAAGGACTGTAAGACGACGTAACAGCTTTGAAGAATAAAATATTGCTACAACACCTTCCAGAATACTGCTAAGCATCATCAAATTGTCTGTAACTATTAACAAAATGACTCCAGTTAAAATCAATTGTACTAGAAAATAATAATGTAAAAGGATAAGTACCCTTCTGATTTAAAACACTTGGCTGACAATATCTCAAAGGTATACCACTGTGCTTCATTACTGTGACACTTTGTTTTAAGGTGCATTTTTATTAGCCTGAGGGTAAATATCCTCATCCCTTCAAAACAATACATATTATTGGTTTATTTCAACCTGAAGCCTGTATATACAGTCTACTGCACAATCACTTATCCAGAAAATTAAATACATTTTCATAGTTACCAAAAACGAAAGTGACCTTGCTGCTACTTTGGTCTTAATATTATTGAAAAATAAGATCTATAGGTAAAAAACTTAAATCAAACACTACACCATGGGCAGATTTTAAAAAAATTGATTTGGCATTTTCAAACATCCTTCAGAAAGTTTATATTTAAAAAAGGTATTTCACTATGAGTACTTGCTAAGCGGGTTAAATGCCTGCCTATAAAAGATGATGGTCAAAAACATCCAATGTTGTGCAGCCTAAGAAAACACAAGCTAGCTTTGTCCAATAGAAAAAGCCTCAGAAAACAAATAGAAAAAATCTTTAAGCTCTCACAGAACCCAACTACTTGAGCAAGGAATCCCTTTTTACAATGTGATCATGTTAGCTAAAGTTGCTGTGCTGCAGTAAAAAAACAAGAAAGTTCTCGCTTGAGTGCCTACTAATGAACAAAGGTTAACTTTATCTCAAAGGTCAAATGGCTGGTGGCGAAGGTTATGACCCTAACAACTTAAATGGTGACCCTGCCACGTGCCTAGTATATTGCAGATTCTGATACAGATCATCTGGTAAAGGACTGGTCATAAATTTACTTCAGTATTATACTCCCACAAAGAATACTGTTGGCCACAATAGTTTCAACTTGTCATTTGATACACAGCTAGAGAACTGAAAGGGGAAAAGCAACCCAAAGTTAATGGCAACATTCTGCATCTCCCTTTTTACTTAAAACAACAAATCAAGGCTAGTGTTTTTACTTCAGTACATTTGGGTCACCTCTCATCACCACAAATGCTGATTTCCCTAAGGATCCCTTCAAATGCAGCAGGTCACACCTATTGCCAAATTTTACATCCCTGCTTTTATGCTGTTTCCTTAGGAGAATGATTTGTTTTAAAGGATCAACCTACTTTGGAAGAAGAAACATTTAAATATGAGCACAAGTTCTCTTGCAGATGACTCTGGGAGCAATCCTAAGCAATCCTAAGAAATAAAGAAGTCCCATTTTATTCAGTGAGGCTTAGTCCCAGTAGAATATTCTTAAGATTGCAGCCTATGTCTGCTTTAAGAGAGGGTTGGCTCCGACTAAGTAATTGTTATATTTGAGGGAGGAAAGGGACATCCTGCTGCACAAATCATTGAGAAGTAAAGTGTCTTGGAACAAATCACAACATAATAGCACTGCGGGTGAAAGGCCACAATGGTTTTGGCACATCTCTGGAAGCACGTTTTGGAGTCTGTAACTCCTGCCATAACTGGCAACTTCTCAAAATGTTAATGTAGACAAAAACATTGTTTTCTGTTTGCAGGCCTTTGGGTTATTGCAAATTCTCTTCACCTCAGCTATATACACGTTGCCCAATGTACCTATTATTTATACTGGCAAGATCCCAACCATAAATAACAGGATGGTAAATCTCTTAAAACAAATCAAGAATAACTGAAGACAAAGAGCCCTTAAGACATCCTTTTGTAACTCTCTTGTTGTGCATACAGAGTAAGTTCTCATTACTGCGGCTCTGTGAGAACCAATTCCTATCAACTTGGCCAACATGCTGGTATGACAAAGGATGATGGGATACATCAGAACCAAAAAGAAACAACCATCCCACCCCCACCCCCAATGAAGGTGGCCTAATCAATGAATTATGTTTTGTATATCCAAACAATAGCTACACAATAGTGCTATTGACATATTTCTACAATACAGAGCTTTTCAAAAAAATGATTCATATACATTGACAAACAAGAATTAGAATGCATAAAACAAATTTATGCAGCTTATCTCCTACAAGACCTGCAAATATGAATACAAAAAAGTGACTCAAAATATAATTCAGTTAAAAGTTAGCTTTTTAAACTTTTAAGATATTCTAAAGTTTAATCAGGTTCTCATTAGCAGTGTCATTATTCCCCAGTATTAATCCAGTAAGAATAACAGCCTACACAAAAACATTGGGTTTTGGTTTTTTTAAAAAAGGAATATAATGGACACAGCTGATTACATCAGGCCAATCTGCAATGATTATTTTCTTCATGTGCTTTGCATCTCATTGCTTTTCCAACTACATTGTGTTGTACACTTTATTAAATTAATGACTTTATAATCAACTAGCTGTTCAGCTTTCAGGTAAAGGACTGGTCACAAAATTGCTTGCTACAATAATAAACTGTTTCAGCAATACTTTGAGTATTTTTAAAGAATGTAATGATTACTTTAAATTCAATAAATAGATTATTAGAAACATAACATCAACATAAAAGTCACGATATGAGTCAACAGGTATAGAAAAATAGTGTGCAACATGGCTTTAGAACTAAACCTGAAATTCATATATTAAATCTGTAATAGATTCACGATATTTTCAAAGCAGCATAAGCACACCTATGCAGCCTCAAAGAGAAGCCTACAATGCAGTTTGGACTACAGTCTATTGTAGTACTGTACTTGATTATAATAAAATACGGCACAACTAGAAAAACAGCCTCTATATCACATTCTCTCCCCCCAAAAAAATCATCTTTACCAGTACTCCCAGACACTTTCAGGGTACTTATACATTCTACATCACATACTATTTTATAGTAAAAGTCCACCAACCTATCCGGTAAAATGGCACAAAAATGTTGAAGCTCCTAATACCAATAATAGTAGTACAATGACAAGACAACCAACCAACAATGAATTCAGCTCTTTCGCATTAGATCGCCCAATAGCCGACACTATACCTACCGCCTAAAATGCTAGTACATAAATACAGCTGCATCAGTTTAACAACATGAGTACTATTAAGTGTATTAAATCTTGTTTCACTCTTCAATCCTATCCAAACTAAAATCTCAGCATGGCTGAATTCCAGTAAGACCATTAGGTTGCTTTGAAAGGTCAAGCTATTACCAATCTTAGGCCTAATGGCTCAAAAGCTACACATTTGCTTAAAGTAAGAAACCATGTGCATGCACCAAAAAAAATCAACAAATTGCATAGTTTTGCTCAAGAACAGTTTTTATCTGTTCTCAGGTATGTTGATATTCATAGGTCCAGTACAGTGTATTACATTAGCAAACTCATTTCCATTTTCATGGATACCACATTGTTTTTAAAGGACAGACTAGTAGTTTAATAACCATACTCTCGCTACAGGTGACAATTAAATTTTCTGGATTTTTCTGCTTACATTAGACAGGTGTTTCTTTTTGACTATGTCTGTTAAATTCTTGCTTAGTCCTTTTAGTCAAATTTGAATACATCTAGGAAAATAAAAGAAATTCTCAGTATCCTGATTCCTCTGACCAGTTGTTGCCCAATATTTGGTAAATTACCTACTAAACCTTTGGTCTTCATGCTGATGTTTAACATATCTGAAAATGGTTTGCATGTGCAGCACACTGGGTTATAGCATAAAGAAGCCATTCTTCTGTGATCAACCTCCTACAATGCTACAGAGTATGCATATGTTATACAGCAAAACACTATCACAGCTATGCTGCTCAACCACATTTATGCGACTCATAATCTTGGTAGACTTCAAGAACGGTAGTGACTGGCCTAACCATTACACAATTAACTTCAAAAATCCAATAAATTATGCAAAGTTTGAAAAAAATTCAGAAAAAAGCACTTACCTGCTGCGTGCACAAAGTATGCCAAATATAAATCGAGTTCCTTAACAGAAACCCCTATATGATGTGGCTGTACGCACAGCCCTGGGTTTGAGCACTGTGGGGACTTTACAAGGCGTTCGCCATCAGTACTTTCAAGCGGAATACCTTTAAATAAAATCACCATAACAAGGTCCAACCTCCAGACCTTATCTGCCTGGCGTAAGCAGTCAATTCTTCTCATCTTGCCTTTCTGGTCCGGATTGGAAAGGACACAACATGGAGGTTTTTTCCCTGTGACAGTTAAAACAAAATCCTCCCGATACTCGGGCCTGATGTCTTTCCGTAACTTTGCCAGAAGCCTGGATGCCCATTTTTGCTTGACCTCAGGTTTTTCACTTAGCAATTCATCCTTCACAGCTCTCTCTTCCTCTTTTGACATGCGTTTCTCATGTTTTTTGAAGTATTTTCGTTTTCGAGCTTGTAGGTTGAACCATGTATATGCAAATGCTCGGACATGGGGAAGAAGTGCTTCAATGAAAGGATGAAATTCATCCTGGAAGAAAGTGAAATGAAGAATTATAATACAGGTTGGCATCATGAAGGTCTATTTGCTTCCTTAACATGTAACATAACTTACAGACAGGCAACAAAAAAGTCATTAGAGGTAAAGACTAAATCATTGCAGTTCCTACTCTGAGTAAAAACATGAGCATTTATATTCTCACTGCACATTCCTGTAAAAAAAAAGGAGGTAGACTCTAAATATATTCAAGAACCTATGTTTCTTTTCTTTTTTTACTAGGCCACGTTCTAAAATCACAAAACAAAATAAAGCACAGGAAACACCTCGGCACACTAACCATAATCACAATTACTCAGAAACACATCCTTTTAAAATCCATGGGAGCATCCTCAAAGTAAATGTAGTAGGATCAAGTTGTTACGCTGTTAGCTTTAAACTGCTGACTTCACAATAAACCCATTAAGTCAATAGGAAAATTCCAGAATCAATGATCTAAGGGCTGCAAAAAGATTGTGGTGACCTTAATCCAATTGCGAAGAAGAGGCATCTTTCTTTACTCCTTCCTTGACCCTGGTGTAAATGGTATGGTCAGCATGTACCTGCCAGTTTAGATACATTCAAACATTTGGATGCCAACCAGTATTGATATGTAAAAGCCTGATGTACAAAAAGAACTCTCCCAAAAATATATGTGCAAGAAGCAATTTGTATTTTAATAGTTCAGTTAAATTGACTGTATTTATCTGATAGCTGATTAGTGTGAACAAACCAGTGTACAGATTTCTAAAACTTATACAAATACAACCTAAAATTACAAATATGGATTTTTGACCTTTGTCTATGAAATAAATATTGTATACTGTGAACTGAAAACTATATACTACAGTACCCTTTCATTTAAATAAAAAAGAGGGGTGAACCCTGGAAAGCTCAAATGTAGACTATATCTGAAAAAAGATTTAAATCCTAAGTTTGCTACAATTTTTTAAAATGTGATTTCTGAAAAACCAGTAAGTCCCATTATTCTTGCCGAAAGCATTACCTGGATTTATACATAACATTTAAAAAAAAATAGAAACAAATCAGTTATTTCAACGTTTCTCCCGTGTCAATAAATATATTGCACAAAAAAAAGTAAACTTTTAAATAAAGGCATTCACTTAGCAAATCCTCCTACAGAAGATACACAAGTCATACTATAATATTTGTGCATATTATTCATATGTATATGATTTCTACTAAACCATGTATAGAAATATCTGATCCTTCAAGCATGCGCCTGTGAAAGGTTACTGTTTCTCTCACTGAACTGATTTGGCTTTGTAAGAGGTGAAATCACTGCCAGCACACAATTTTGTATATTGGGGGGGGGGGGGCACAACCTCTCTGCTGTGCCTAAGTGATCATTCTTACGTACTAAAGACATTAGCAACTTCTTTTCTAGTTTTCCTATACTTCTTGGTTTATGACATGTATCCTTTATCAAAATATTATTTCAAAGTAGCATCCTTATTTAGCATGTCTTTGAAGTTGGGTATTCTGCTCAGGCAAATAAAGGGGTAAAGGAAAAAATCCCAACTATACCATCTGAAAAACTCACAATATGGAACACATGTTTAAACTCTGCTATGATCTATAAAGGGTTAACTGCTGTATATGGTACCTCAGATATAACACACAAAGGGTAACGTAGATTTTTATGGAAAGAATTCTTAGAAACAAAATATGATAACTGTAGTGATAATAGAAGGAATAGGTGTCAAAATGACAGTTCAGATGGTGTTAACATATAAAATAAATATATGGCAAAATGACACTTTTCCTTACTCCTCCCTTTAAAAGAAAACCACATTTTTACATTTCAAAAAAGCACAAAATAAATATTATAATAATGGCCATTTAAATTGATAACTACGAGAGCAGGATGACAAAAGACAGGAGTAGCTGGATCTGGAAACCACATTTACAAAAAAGAAAACAAAAAGATTACCAGTAGATGCTGCTACTAAGCACGAACTCTGAAGCTTGCTACAACACATTTCGAGGCCTTTTCCACTTGCACATACAGACACACAATAGCTAAGAGCACAAAAGGGGCCTTTTGGAATGCTCATCTGCTGTGACACATGAAATAGTCCCTAAAGTTATTCATTCCAAAAGTAACCGACTACTTGAAATCTTATGGTGAAAACTTGCCATTTTCAAGAACTTAATCACTAATCCTTCCATGTTTACCACCTTTCAGTGTCCACTTTTAAATTATACAACCACTGCTCTATACTCTAAAACTGGGACCATCATGTTTTTTGAATGAGGGAAGATGGTTAAAAGATCCATCTAAAAGCCTCAAAAGCCACTGAACGGCCTTACAGCGATGATACAGTTAAGCAGTTGATCATTGTTAATATAAGGGCTGCTAATCAAATGGGATCTCAGAATGATGTATGAAAGGATAATTGCTCCACTTTAAAAAGCTCACAACTAACTGTCAAGTACATTATTGGGGGGGGGTGATCAACCCTCCAATATTTCACTACAAAGATATTCAAAAACAAACACAAAACTAGATACCCACCTCTAAGAGAAATGGCTGATTTATATTTTGTGCTACAGTGTTATTTGAACCAAAGTTCTTGAATCAACAAGGTTTCCAGGAGTATTTAAAAGTGTTCAGGTACAACCACAGATCAACCTACAAAAAGAGCTACTACAAAAAAAGAAAGAAAAGTGGATTCCTTTTCCTATGACAAGATCGAACAAAAAGTTCTCCAAAAGTTTGATCAAAGATCTTTCACCCTTATAATTAAAAACTGTTTTAACTATCACAGCCTTCACATATGCGCCTCACAACATTTACAGAAAGAAAAAACATTAAAAACTGAACATGTGAACATATATACCTTTCCGCTGCTCATATGTATTGTGATCCAAATAGAATTTTGTCACAATGGTGTGGCTAAATTTTGGATCACAAAACAGAAGCATATTTGAAAAACCAGCTGCCTGGGAATCAGAAAAGAAGTTACAAAAATGAGAAGTGAATGGGTTTTTTTCTTTGAATATAAACATATTTTGTTCCTGTAATCTATGGAAACAATAGATTGAAGTTCATGTACTTCAAAGTTAGCCAGCTATGTAAAATATCATAGTGTTAAGATTTCTATGAACCTTAGCTTTATCTGTATTTCCTTGTCCATCTATTATGAGCTGACACTCTTAAGTCCAAACAGTATTTAATAGACTGCAAAGTAGGTAAATCACATCTATAAGGACAGTAAGTAAACAATGCCTTAACAGGTACTTTCTGCTAGGCCTCCAGTTCCATCAACGGAAGCGACTGTTCTTTATTGTGGTTTTAATTCACACTGGACAAATTTAAAGACATAAGTTTTGAAAGTTAATAAAACTATTTAACTCTTTATCAGTGATGGTGTTCATAGATTATATATAGCCAGATTCCGCAGCTGTAAGTATGTCTTGGAAAGTTGTGAAAAGACACCTTTTAAAATCCTTAAACAGCAGTTGAAAATGTGCAATGAGGAGGCAAAAGCACTTTGTAACATAATGGTTCTATGATAGCAATAGTGAATACAAAAAAGAAAATATAACTGAACTCTTCGTAATGTACAATAAGGCCTACTACAAATCAGAGTATCAAAATGCAACCCAGCAGTAGGGGAGAGGCAGAGATGGATGAGATACAGATACAAACATTCTTTGCTACCCCAGGTAGGTAGATTAACAGTAAACAGATCTTGATTTAGGTACTTCATAAGTAAGCAAAACTTTCACTAGAGTTAATCTTGAAAGCCACACGTTCTATAACATCCCAAAATATAAACTAGAGGCATCCTCCACAGACAATCAACCACTAAGATTAGTAGCATGTTCAAGATGCATTCTGTGGCGATTTGGCTTGCTATAACCACAAATTTATTCTTAAAGGTGACAGTGGTGGGTTCTGGCCAGCTACTAACTTCCAAACGTGATCTGTACCTAAACTCTGACATTCTGAAAATGTCCTGTTTAATCCCCCTTCCATAAATATTCAAATACAACGAAAAACTCATACAAAGACAGGAAATAATCCAGGGGTCTGTGTCCCAAAGTGTTTCCTCCTGAAACCAACATCACGTCCTGCATAACTGAAGGTGTGTAATTGCAAGTCTGTGCCAGTCAGAAGTACTGGAGTGGGAAGGGCAGAACTTTGAGTTTCAATAGAAACTTTCAACCGTCATTGTTAAGACAGAAAAGCAACAAAACCCTCACCAAAATTACCGAGGGGGGGGGAGTGGGGGGTAAAAGAAACTAGATCTAGAACACACACACACACTATTCAGGGCACACTTTATGGTTTTAAATCGTGTAAAGAAATCCGGTGGGGGGGGGGGGGGTTATCTGAAAAACTGTAGGTGCAAGAGTTTTCTTCGGGCAGAGAGGGTGCCAGCGCAATGAGAGTACTGGAAGATAGAAAGAAAAGTTGCCCGAACTCCTGGGCTCAGAAGCAGCAGTTTCCCAGGACTGCCTGCATGTGTGCCGCTCAGGCGGCAGGCACATAACTCTTGAGATTCAGGGGAATGCAACCAGAGAAGGGAGAACTGGGGAGGCGGGAAGAGAAGGGGAAATCACATTTGAAATTATTTTCAGCCCACGAGGAACTTAGCTGCGCTGCAAACAAAAGGGATCAGGCAACTTTCTGGGTTGTTGTTTTTTTTTAAAAAGCTCCTTCCCCCGCCCTCCGCTTTCTCCAGGCAGGACGTGCAAACCCAACTTCCCAAAGGAAACAACCCTAGGCAAACGTGACACCCGAGCAAGTGACAAGGCGCGTTCAAGGCAGCCAAGAAGGCAGATCTGGGTTGGGATTGCCCTTCGGAGCCTGCTGAGGCTAGAGTTGGGCAGAGGTGTGACGGCTGCAGCGCACTGCGAGGATCCCGAACTGTGTTGTGTGCCCGAGAGTAACGGAAAAGAGGGTAATGCAGGAGGCTGCAGCAGCAGCAGCAGCAGCGCAATGTGGATTACTTAAAGCTCTAGCTATCCATCAAAGCCCGGTGTAATGTATAGAAGGGGAAGATCTAGGCATAGGTGGAATGCATCTCGATAGCTCTACTTCTCCGCCCGGGACTCAAATACAAACGCTCAAGCTATACAAACCCAACACTGGTAACAAAAAAAAAAGTGTGAGAGGAGTTTACGGAGGTGAAGCAATGCAGCGCTAGTAGCGTGTGGGGGGAGAGGGGGAGAGGGAACGCATGCAGCACGCAGTTACTTAATGCTGTACTTTTTCTTTAAAAACACACTGAAACAAACAGAAAGCACCTAACTGTATCTTGTGTTATTCCATTTCTATGCATTCATCACCTCGGAAGCAAAAGCAGTGAGTATTGATTTCAGATGACCAAGCATGTAATGGGGCTGCGACTGCTTAACACGTGCAGATCGTCCTAAACACATACGCGCGCGCACACATACATTGCATTTCAGCACAACCCCACTATCTCCCCCCCTTTCCCCAACATAAACACACACCCCAATATTAATTAAAGCCTTAATAACTAGGCGCCATTAGCCATGTGTCTATACAAATGGCCGTGCGAAAGCAGCTATGTAACCTAATGGGAAAGAAAGTTACTTTCCGCAAGCGGGATTACACCCTCCCGCTCCTTACACACACACACCTCATCGCAAAGCACCCACAACCCCAGCAGCCCCCTCCCCCAGATGAATCCAAAGAGCTTCTTACCTGGGTAAGACAGAGAGGAGAATACATGATTGCTGTGGGGGGGTTTGTGGCTTGGAGGTGTGTGAGGGAGAGAGAAAGGGAGGGAGGGAGAGAGGGAGAGGGAGAGAGAAGACAGAGAGAGAAAAAAGAAAGAGGGGGGGAGAATCGAGCCTGCTTCTTGCTTTCACATTTCCAACTCTGCTAAACTGCAGCCAGCGCTGATCAGCTCCATGAGCTGAACT